GAGAGAGAGAGAGAGAGAGAGAGAGAGAGAGAGAGAGAGAGAGAGAGAGAGAGAGAGAGAGAGGGAGGTTCAGGATGAGGAAAGGAGAAGTGGGTGGAGGAGAAAGGTTGCGAGTAAAGTATGGTAGATGAGGTGAAATGGGCTGTGGAATGGCAGGATGAGAGTCACGGGAGGAGGGGTAGGGGTCGTCTTTTTCTTGCATTTCCTGGCATTTACATAGAGGTTGTGGGGAAGGTGAGGGAATAGGATGGAGACATGGAGAGTTTATTTTTGGGTTCCTTAGCCCCTATGTTTAGTGTGCACAAACTGCATGCAGGGGATTAGGAAGGAACGTCATGAAGTTTGAGCCAAGTACCACCAATTGGTAGGTGGAGGATGGGTGTGGAGGACAGAGAAAGGTCGACCAGCAGGTCAAGTCTTTGCATGAATATGGATTTGTTCCTGATACTGAGAGGCGGAGGAGGCGGCAGGAGTAGAGAGGGAAAGAGTCTGAGAGGCCTGTTATCTCGACGGTCCTGCCTTTGCCAGGTAGTTGGCTGTGTAGCACAAGAAATGTATCGAGGAGTCGGAAATCCAACACATTGCACTCCTCAGGGTGACACGATTAATGGTGCGTATATCTGAAAATTCAGAGTCGAAAACAATTTCGAACAAGGCTAATCGTGGGGAACTGACAATCTGGATGCACACTTATGCAGTCAGAGGACAAAAGCTAGTTCTGAAAAAGGATTACGAAAACCTTGTACTGCTCTGAAATAGGAAACTCAGCGCTAACCTGATGAAAGGTCCAGATGTTAAAATTTTTAACCAGTTTTATTCCTTTGTCCTAGTAAGATCTGTGCCATTGTGTCATCATCTTGCATGCATGTGTCAAGGGGTTTCATAGCTGAGTGTGATCAAGTACGTCATGTGTCTTGCTACATAGTGGGTAGTGGTATGGTATATACTATGTAGGTGATTATAAATTTGCTGTGCCCTGGTTTCCACTTGAAATTGCAAAGTCTAGGCAACAGTGTTTTCTTTTCTTGTAGGGCAGAGCTAACCTCTGACAACTTTTGTTTACAGAAGAGAAACCTCTGTGGTTGCTCTGTGTTTGATGGTGCAGTCCCATCCAGGTGGTCTTCTTTTTCCGCCGAAGTTCGGAAGCAGCCACACAACACTGCTAGATCTATCTTTCTTGGTTGGTCCATTGACACTACGATTCCCCTGTACCTGGCATTGTGCATGTTTTTTTTTAGTGATTCATGTTGAAATGCTGTTTGGTGTCCAAATGCGTACGCTTCCCAGTTTTCCGCTGACTATCTGTCGTATATTAGCAAACAAGTTAAAACAACGGTAATAGTCTAACTTTTCGTTCTGCTCTTCCTGGTACTGAGTGATCTGTTTCCTTGGCTGAGTTGGTTCCCAATTTGCAAGATGTTCCTCCCTGTGAAAAACGTTTCCACCCTTTTATAAGTGTGCTTTGTTTCACTCAGGTAGACAATAAGTCTGTCCCAGTTGTCAAAGTGGCCTAGGACAGTGCCACAATCTCTTTTCCATAGCAAACATCTCGACTGTTGGAGGATTGCTTGTGTTTCTGGTTGTCCCAGGTTTGTTGCTCCTTCGGCATTGCCTGCTACTCAATTGTGTACGGTGCCTTGACTAACTGCTCGCTGATCTGCCTTTCAGGATGCCTTTTACAGTTCATCATTTCTAGAACTTTCTGAGCATGAGATCTTCAGTGATTGTTGCGTTTGCCAGCTAGACTAGGCACATGCAACTTCCTTTGGTGCAGTGGTGCAATGTCTGGGATAGGGGAAGACAGGGATTGAGGAGCATGGTACAATGTCTAGGACAGGGAACGGAGGGGTGGAGATGGTGAAATGTCAGGGAGGAGGGGGTAAAGGGAGGGAGCATGCGCAATGTCGGGGAGTAGAGGACGATGGGGAGGGAACAAACATTGTAGAGTGAGGGACATGACGGAGAGAAAGGGGAGCTTGAGACACGCACCACATGGTTTACGAGGGAAAGAGGATGGGATATGATGGGTAGCTTGACTTCACATTACAGGATGAGGTGAGTGCCATGGGAGAGTCACAACAGAAGGGGAAATCTGAAGGCGAGAACGTGGTGGGGAGGAGATTGCAATGGCAAAGGAGGCAGAAGAAGAGTAGGATGTAAGGAGGAATGGGTTTGTCATGGCGGAAATTGTTTGGTTGTTTCAATGTGGTACCAAGACACCTACCCATGTGTGACAAAGATTTTTTAGCCATCTCTGGATTGTGGACGACGAGGAAGGGTGTGGATAGATGAGTTCACAATGGCACTCTTAATTGCCGGAGCTCAGTTCTCTACGACACTCTTAATTGCCACATCAGATCTTCGGCGCTGTTGATCAGATTTTATGAGTTGCTTGTGCTTTGTCCTTGTCTTCTAAGCATTCAGTACTATTCACTCACTCCTAACATTTATGTGGTGCCACAATTTCAAACGGTTCAGGTTCCTTTCTTTTTTCTTCTTTTGTTTTTTGAATACAGCTGTCTTCTCCTCATATTGGGGACAGTTGTACTTTTTTCCCTACCCTATTTTCTTCTCTCTTGCCTCCCACACTAGCTACCCATCTCTATGCCCTACCCAAAAGCCCTTCAATGAGAAGAGCAACTACCCAAATCACAAGCCCTACCAAGCTGAACAGATTGTACCTATGGAAATCAGGACCGAACTTTATTTTACTAGGCAGAATTATGCAATCCTACAGTTATGGGTCTACGCCTACCTATCTCTGCTCTGTGGGGGGGAGCAGTACCCAAGCTTCTAGCACGCGCTGTGGGCTGGAAAGAGCTACTTTCACAACCAGCCAGGAGGCCCAAGCCAACAATCTCTATTTGCACAAATTGTGAATTATTTCTTCAGAGTAGAATGCCTCTGTGTACTAGCAGTCTGCTGATTCCTGCGCCACGTGTAACATGTGCCTCGTATTCACACAGGACAGCTTTTCAAGACTGGATGATAGAGCAAAAGACGTGTCCAAAGCATCAAAGATGCTGTCGAAGTTGTTTCCGAGCAAAGTGGTTGTTCAGCCACCTCAGGTACGATTCTTCGTGGTCTGCTGACCGACCTGTCTAGATCCAATCCATTGATCTTTCTGCTCATTGGCTTTGCATTTGGGAACCTGCTATTTTTCCGTTATTTTTGGGAGGGAGAAGAGAAGGGTGGTGGGCAGGGGGGGGGATAAGGTGGCCACGAGTGTTCATTAACTGTTCGAATCCCAGCTGTTTTTGCGCCCTCACTTGTGGCTGGGAAATGAGGGGTTCCCGTGTGCTTGCTGGTATCGTTTGCAATATTGGCGATGGCTGATCTCGCGAAACATTTCTTCTTTCGTTAGACCCTGGTCTTTCCTGACAGTGACAAGGTCCTGTTGGAGGACTAGTGAGAATCATTCATGTCAGGAAAGAAAGTTTAAGAAACAGAACGGGCAACGGGCCTAGCTTAGTTGGTACACCCATGAACTGTTGGAATGTGGACCTGAGTCCAAATCCAGATGGCAGATGGATTCGGTGAATGAAATTCTTGAACTACCTGGGGCCGGTCGGTTCAGTTCAACGTTGATATCTAAAGGCCGTTGGAAAAAAAGGGAGGGGGGGTGGTTGGGAGGACCTGTGGGACAATGACAAAGACCTCTTTATTGTCATCGTTGCGCAGGGGCCATGCTTATCGTCTCAGTATTGCTCCTGTCTGAACAGATGTCCCTAAGGAGACAAATGCAAGATCCCAGCTCACCTCATGAGCATGCCAACTGAGGGCATACTCACACTAGCAAATTTCCAGAATGCATCTGACTGCACTTTTGCTCACACCTTGATGAATCTGACTGCTAGAGCATTGTAGAAGGCCCGTTTATTCTTTTGTACTTCATCTTTTCCATGTTCGGTGCGTGCTGCCGTGTTTCGGCCTGGTGGCGCTGCTGCACGAGTGAAAACACCGTGAATATAAAAACGAGATATAAAACGGGGAAAAAAAAATTACGTGCATCCTGCTTTTTGTTCCATCCTCTGGAAGCTGATCCAGCTCTTCTTTTTCAAAGAGGATGGCACCCGCTCACTCTCAGGCTCAGCAAAATGAATTATTTGGATTGTTAAAACAGGTCTGGGTGAACTGGTGGTTTAATGAAGAACAGCTATTCCCCCCCCACCCCCCCCCAGTTTGTCCAAGAGCAGAATTGACATTGGCCAAGTGAGGGCTGTGCTATCTCGAAAGGCAGGAAGGGGGCCTCAGGAAGAGCGAAAAAAAAGATAGCAGGCCCGGGGAAAAGCTAAGGGTGACTCAAGGTGACAGCCTTGGTCGGCACTCTGGCTGCCACCAACTGAGATGGTTGGCTTGCTCCCCCCATTCGGTATTGGTAGGGTCTTTGGTCATCAGGGGTGTGGTGGGGCGGGGGCGGGGGCAGGGGCAGGGTGCGTGTGGTGTGTGGAAGAGTGCTGGCCATAGACACTCCCCCCCCCCCAACCTGCCACCGGCGGCCCCATTCTACTCCTGTCTCTTATACACATCTAGATGTGTATAAGAGACAGGTATAGGAGAAGTGGTAGGTAGATAGTGAAAGGTGAACTTGAGAGAAGAATATAGCCTTTTTTTTGGGGGGGGAAAAAGAGGGTGCACAGTACTACCTGTTGATAAACTGATGCATGGATCACATTCTCCCCGTGGGCATACTTACGGTAGCACTTTTTACCTATTTCTTGACGGAATTGCAGCCAGATGCTTACAGGTCCGGTAATATATTGAGTCAGAATCCGTCAGATATGTCTAAAATAGTGCTAGTGTGAGTAGGCGCTTATACACATCTACACAATCATATCTGTGCACACTCTCATTTATGCACTCACATCCACACAGACATAGTACAGTCAGCTGCATGCATGCCGAAGTGGGTGTACGTGCTGACATGCTCCCTCAATGACCTGACCCACTTACCAGTTGCACTGTGGCGATGCTTGTGGAAGTTGGGATTGTGCTCATTTATCGAGGGGTGTTGCAATGTGCTTTGCCCAGAAGGGGACGGAGGACAAGATCGGTACTGCAAGACCTTCCCTTGGATGGCAAGGTTTGAATCTTTGTGTGCCAGGACGTTGTGTAACCAGATCACCAAGTGCCAACAGCATCAGAAGTGCACTGCACACTCCGTCCAACCCAGAGCCTACGGTGTGACTGGTGAATTATTTGTGTAATTGGATTTTTCAGTCATGCAGAAGTCTGCACAGTTTAGACCTATTGGCAAAGGGAAGGAGTTTAAGTTGATGGAACTGCACCATGAGATCGACTGCGTCCTAGCATTGAGTGTTGAGGACACAAGGGGTATTAATACCGTATTATACTTGTGAGGAGGGGGGGGAGTGGGAGGGGTAGGGGTTGCTGTGGAAGTGTGAAAGAGGAGAAAGTGCGGCATGCATTAAATAGTGTAAATGAAAATGGAAAATCACTTTGCATGACTCCGGAAATCAGAGAGTTCCATCGCGGCCTGTTAGGCTGAACTCAGATGGCCGGGTGCATGGGTCTACAGGGGCATGCCAAGGGTGCAGGTACGTGCTGACAAGAGATAAAGCGGATTTTTCAACACCTCACATTTCCTTGCAGTTAAGATGCCAATAAGGAAAAAAAAGAAAAAGCAGAAAACTTTGGAAAGACCAAAGGGTGGGAGTGGGTTGAGTCGAAGTAACCCCCCCTTGTTATAGGCTGACTTTCTTCTCTGTCTAATCGCACCCGTTGCTTGTTCAGAAGCCGGACCAACGCCCCTCAGAATAGAAGGGGCTGTGTCGTTTTGGGGAAAAAGAATAAAAAAGAAGAGAGGGGATGCAAAAAACTGAAAACAAGGAATGTGAAGAACAGATTGCCCCCCCTTTTTTTCCCTTTTTCTCTCGGAACATGAACAATGCTGCAGCTGCCCCATGCATGGCCAAAACCAGTCGTCGGGCTACAGGTCTCACGAGCCACATAAAAATTGCCAAATCCGCCGGGAATTATTTAAGCGATGACGTTTTCATATATTGTGATTGAGATTTGAAACAAGTTTTGTGTTGTGCTTTGGTAAATAGGTTTTCAGTGTTGTCGCTGCTTAGGTTCTAGTTTACTGCTGATGCACGTTGCTCAATCCTCCGGATGGTTGTTTGCCTTGGGGCTGTGGCTTGGGACTGACATTATCAGGATGAGGCCTTGCTCGCGGAATGGAAAAGACAAGTTGAGAGAGACATTGAAACACTAAAAGCAGAAGCCAACCGACAGCTTTTGAAAGCGGTGAGTGGACATGATTTTGTTTCCCCTAATAGTAATTGGGTAAAAAAGTTGAAAAAGCCAATTGGTTAACCACTGGTCTTTGAAGCGTTTTTTCTTTTTTTTGGGTGTGTGGACCGATGCTGGTTGGTGGGGAGCTTCACCTGCTGGAAATGGTGTCCAGTGTCCCATTACAAGACATCTCAAGACAACAATTGCATACCCCGCAGGAATTGGTTGCCCCCGCTACGAGGGGCATTAACTGAGCGGGCTATTATGTAATTATGTGAGAATCCATGTCGTGCATTGCTCAGGAAACAGTCAAATCTTTCAGCAAGTGAGTAATTCATGCCGTGCAAGCGTCTCGTGGCTGTAATGAGGAGCGGTATCTGCTCGTGGAATTCTGTAATTTTGACTTGCTGGTGGAAGAGGAACAGAGCTGACGATCCCCAGAATAGAATGAAATCTCGGCAACAAGGTTGCAGTTCATTTTTTTCTGAGTGAGGACGCCGCCCGGCTGGGCCTGTTCGGCCGGGCTGGGCCCGGCCGGTTGGGCCCGGGGGGACCGCCCGGGTAAACCGGGCGTGACAAAAAAACGCCCAGAAATATATATATTATATACTCCGACGAAACAGTTTGTCACAGCCCCTCTGCAATCAGACTCGTTTTCAAACACACTTTTCACACATGTAAACAGTAACGCAGCACACTGGCGACATGCGCCCACTCAAAACTCAGAGATATGGTTTTCAGATACGAGTTCACTCCCAATTGGCTACGGCGACCTCAGCGCACAAACATCTCACTGTTCACATACACTGGATCACCCTGGATATCCCACACGCATCACT